ACAGAGAGGGTAATCAAGCATTGGAACAGCCTACCCAGAGAGGTGGTGGATTCACCATCCCTGGAGGTTTTTAAGCAGAGATTGGATGTGGCCCTTAGTGCCATGATATAGTAATTGGAGTTGGATCAGGGGTTGGACTTGATGATCTTGGAGGTCTTTTCCAACCCAATCTATTCTATGATTCTATGATTCTATGATTCTATTCCAGTTTTTCTATTATCGGTGAGAAGACAAATAGTACTATCTTTAAAAATGCAGTTTAATAGAGGGAATGATAAACTGAGCCACTAAATAAAGAAGAGTAAAAAAGTACTGTGGTGTAGAACAGCAGTCACTAAGTATCATTCTCAGAGCATCATTATCTGCCCCTATTGCACACACTGCCACAATTCCACTCAGCTGTAATGATGAAGACAGACCAAAAGGAATTTTATCAGACTCAGAATTAGCAGTCTATGTTGACCAGGACTAGGCAGTCACTGAAAATATGAGAAACCTTGGCTCAGTTTTTTAACACATGGTCTTGTGTCTCTCAGACTAGGAAGTCATTTGGACCATCAGAAAAGCAACTGACTCTCAGTACTTTAAGGCATTATACTTGGGCTCTTGTTTCCATTTTTTGGTATAAAGTACACCAAAACAACATCCGTAAGAGTGTGGTGAAGGTCAGCCCAGGGGTGACTGTGAATGGGTCACATTCTGAGATGAGGGGGACATTGCTGTCACACAGAGTGAATTTATACAATTAAAACAAGTTACAAGAGCTACAAGTTACATAGTCACGTAACAAGACATTTCAAAGACAAATTATTGGGTAAAACACACAGAGGGCAACAAGGAACATTCAGAAATGTTGTAAGTCTCCCTGACAGGGAAGACAGAAGAATCTCACTCGTCTCTCTGTTTGATGTACAGAAATGAATGTTGCATGGATTGGCATCCCACACACATTGTTCACACCTTCCAGGACTTTTTTGTCAAAGAAATGTCTTTTTGGAAATACTTGAGTAATCGGTGCTTTATGGCACTGACGTGGAAGTAGAAACCTGCTTATCCTGTGAACCAAAATCAAGCAATTAGAAAGCAATCAGTGAGTACATTAGACAATTTGTGAAGAAATGGAGACTTTGCTTTTCATTCAAGATGTACCAGCAGTTTAGTTTTTCAGATGACAATTTCAGCTTCCACAAGCTACAGCTTTAGGAGAAGGCAGTAGATGCAGAGGAGTTACTGCAAATCAGCAGTCAATTTGTTTATAGAAAGTCTTCCTCCTAGCCTGTGTTCTGTGTGCATGTAGATATAAATTCTCGGCTATTAACCAATGGAAATTAACCTGTGTTGGTGGAATTACTGAAAATGAAAACCAGTTTCAGAATCATGGTCTGTCACTCCATACAGAAGAGAAAAACTCGGGACATATATGACATTCAGTCAAATATAACTCATTTTAATATATTTTACTTTCCTACAGCCTTGTAAACCATATGCTTGAAAACACGTGGGAGTTGCCTGAAAATGTCAGAATTCTTTTAAGTGACAAGATTGTATGGCATAACGAAACAACAGGAAAAAAAACATGGAACTATACATATTTTTGTCATTTCCTTTGCAGTAATATGATTTTAATTCTGAATGTAAATTTTCCACAGGAGAACATTTCCCACTGGGTTTGGGTGGACCATGGGAAGGCTGATGTAACCTAGCACCTTTCCACCAACAGCTGGGGCACCACAGGAAGCAGCATGCATTTTTTTACAGTCAAC